TAATTTATTTTAACTAGCAAACAACGAGACTAAACAAAAGACGCTATCTTACGCGCTATAAAACGTTGATCTCACACTTTACATAACCTACAAAAATGTCTTGTGTCTTAATTAATTGCAATCCCTGGTAGGCAACATGAAATACACGACGTAAACGATGTAATGGTGGTTGCCTAATAGTAGTAGGGGTGTTATAAAAGGAGAATTAATATATAAAAGAATCATATAAACAACGAGAAATATCAACTGGACGAAACACAGGTAAAAAACCAACAATTTTAAGGCCCATAGTTAAAAAATTTGCAAATACCTTGTTCCACTGAGATAAACTGTTTGAAAATCCAATTTGGAGATACTTAATAATTTAATTTATAATACTCTTTAACGACCCCTCTGTCGTACGACCGCGGACACCCCCTGTAGTTTCTTAGAATATATAAAGGTAGAAGCACAGCTTATACAATACAGCTAAAACACTCTCTTGGCGGCAACGGTTTGCGTCGATTTCGTCGCGCATCGCTTAAGTTCCGCCTTCGAAGGGAAAAGACGGTTTTGGCGTTCAGAAGCGTACTTAGGCAAGGTGTTGAGTCGTGCGTATAATTTCGTTGATTGTATAATTTCGTGGAGCCTATAATTTCGTTGATTTTGTTTGAGTTAAAGGTACTGTTATTATTTTGGTGACTCTTTAGCTGTGAGTAGAATGAGTTTGTGCAGTCAAAAGCTGTTTTAATAAGGGTTATACCTGCAAGAAAACATTCTTTAGTTTTCCCAAGGACCCAAACCGATAAGTACTACATTATAAGAAATTTTCATTGTTAAAAATATAATTTATACAGTGCGTTATTGTTCATTATTTTGTTGTAGACACGCAAGAAAGTTTTAAATAAAAGTTATATGGATTTGAAAAATACCTACATATTTTAAAAATATCTTTGGATATACAGGGTGTCACGTTTTTGCCTGGAAAATTAAAATGTATGTTTTTTAAATGGAACACCTTGTATTTTATTTTATGACGAAATTATTAACACCCTAAATTATTGTAAAGACGAATTGCTACAGAAAAATTTTATCAGGTATGTTTGTGGTTACCTTTTAATAAAAGCCTTGCGGATCCACTCCTGCGATACCTGTCTTAAATATAACAAAGATCACGTTGAATTAGACGATTTTTCTTTTTATTGCTTTTAAAAGGCATATGATAACGCCAATTCAGATACATTTGGAAATCTGCAACTGTCAAATGATGAATTTGTAGAACTAATATTCAATATTGAAAAGATATTTTAAAATAATTTTGAAGAATTGGCTACAAAAAATAACATTTGTACCACACTTTTAGAATTAATTAACCCAATATCCTTTAGTCATCCATGCTAACGTTTTCCAAAAGAATAACTTATTTTATTGTATGTTTAATCTCAATAACTAAAAAATATACTGATAATTAGTTTGACAGAATTGTCATTTATTTAAAATTTTAAAAATAATAGCAGTCGGTTGATCAAAATATGAACGGTGATTGGCGAATTTATTTTTTTTGCAGTGTTCTCACTACCTAGAATGGATATGAAATATATTCGTTCAATTGAAGGCAATAGCATACTTTTTCGTTTTGTAATCTGTGCATGGATATTAGCCAATCTACGCACATACTACAAAACGAAAAATTATGTTATTGCGTTCAACTACGAATATATTTCATATCCATTTTAGGTAGTGAGAACACTTTAACAAAATTAAATCTACAAATCACAGTTCATATTTTGGTCACCAACTCCTATTATTTAAAAATTTTTAAATAAGTGATAATTCTGTTAAACTAATTGTCAATATATATTTTAGTTATTGATATTAAATATACATTAAAATTTTTGTGTAGACTCGATAAATAATAGCATTTTTGTTTTTATTATGTCCACATTTAAAAAAAAATAAATTTTAATCAAACTACATGATACTAATTTAATTACGAGTATTAAAACTAAAGTCCTGAAAGTTTCGGTGAAGATGAGGACAGAACATCTGCCTTCCATGCGAAAAGCCCGGGATCGAATCTAGGCCGAGGACTAATTAATTTTTCATGTTTATTTTATTTTATAAATTAGTCAACTTCGTAAATTATTTTAAAATTAGTTATTTTGTCTAAATAACCTAAAATAATTTTTTAAATTTGTAGATTTTCGTTAGTGGGTCGTAGAAAAAATATACTGACCATATCGAGTGGATTGTTCATATCACAATCAGACGATTGAGTACTCCGCCTACGACGTCGTGCTCAAACTTCGTCTTTGTGTGATATGGCTATCATATCCACCCTTGTTGAACAAACTACAATTTATTTGTTTTCTTGGTTTAAGTTTTACATCAGAAATAAGAACTAAATTAATTTACTTTTCAAGTTTTCTTGTAAAAATCGATATTACTTTCTCCAAGTACAAATTTAGTACCTACCTAAAATAAGTACTAATTATGTAATATCGTGTAATATTGTAATTCAAATTTCACATTACTATAAAGTTTCAAAATTCCCTACTTCGGTATGGTCAGATAAAAATTGAATATATTAATATTAATAAAAACTGTTAAAGTATTACTTCTACAAATCTGTATTTCAATTAATAAGAATACATCTAAATATAACCAATATTGTTAAAATAAAAGCACAAATTCTTTATAATTCCAAAATACCATAGAGTTCCCAGACCTCAGTCGAAGCATTCGTTTATCTAGGTATAAACCCTTTGCGCGAAGAGTAACACTTGCCAGAGACACGGGGTATCACTTGATTTGCATCCACGAGCGAGACACATTTCTTTAACAATTGAAGTCCTTGGTGTAAAAAGGATCCAAGTCACAATTTGTCGTGAAGTGACTGTTTTAGCTCAAAACATTTGTTAACGAGGATTTTACTAGCCACATACAAATTATTTTACCTCTAATCCGAAAGATGTGCTATTTTTCGTAATATTTATATTTAAATAATTTTTTTAATTATATTTGACAGATTTAAAACAAATTAAAAATTTAATTTTCCAAAACTTACTTAACATGGCATGTAACCAACCTTATTACGTCAAGGTTTTCAATTTTTTCAATAATAAAAAAATTGCTTAATCCGAGCCCGACTTTTCCCTTTAATCTAACAGAGATAGCACCATTCCGTCTTGCTTGGTTCTCGACCGCCAGATCAAAGACGCCGACACGGAGTTGTGGAGCTGTATTGTATAAGCTGTGGTAGAAGTACCTCTCTTTAATAACCGGTAAAACCCAATTTCAGAATGCTTAAAAAATTATATTTTGTTATTTTAGGAGAAGGTTTAGTAAGACTAGTGAAATTATCTTTCTTGTATAAATTATTGTTTTATTTTGTAATTTGATATGGCATCGTTAAGAAGAGTATGTGTGAATGATTCAAACAATTTTTCATTTTAAACACAAAGTTTGAATTCTATAAAAAACAAATTAAAACTAATTTCGGTGATTCTAAAAAAATGTGGGAAATTGTAAACAAATTTACAGGTAAGAACAAGAAAAATGAAAAAATTTGTAAAACAATTGGTATTGAAGGAAAACACCTAACAAATCCAAAAGATATGTGTAATGAATTTAATCAACAATTTAATTAAAATGGGAAAGAATCTGGCCGAAAAAATTACAAAACTTACTACCAAGATCAAAAGCAACCACCAGTGAATTCTATGCTTCTGAAAAAAAAATCATTAAAGTTATCGCTGAGTTAAAGAATAAAAAAGCAGTAGGAGCCGAAGAAATACAAGCAGAAATCCTAAAACATATTTCAAAAGAAATTGCGGTCCCACTCTAACACATTATAAATATATGCTTTGAAAAAGGTGTATTTCCTGATACTTTAAAAGAAACAATTGTAACACCGATCTACAAAAAAGGCGATAAAACTTTAGTTAATAACTACCGACCACTATCTTTGACAACTCATATATCTAAGAACTTTGAAAAGATAATAAAAATTAAACTCACTTCATATATGTCTAAGTACAAAATATTGTCTCCAAAACAGTATGGTTTTAGAGAAAATACTTCAACAGAAGATGCCATCCTAGCGTCAGTAGAAAAAATATACAAAGCTCTAGATGAAGATAGACAATGTATGTGTGTATTTATGGATCTTACAAAAGCTTTTGATACTGTAAGTCATGAGCTACTCCTACAGTCTCTTAAAGATATAGGAATAAGAGGAAACAGACAAAAAATGTTTAAAAGCTACCTCACAAATAGAAGGCAGATTGTTAAAGTTGCTAATAAAACGAGTAACTCTGAAATACTAGAGTATGGTGTTCCTCAGGGTACTGTTCTTGGGCCTATACTTTTTAATTTATATATAAACGGACTCTTTTCAATATAAAGCTGCGGTGAAATAATTGGATTTGCTGACGACACAGTAATATTTTAAGAGGGACAAGACAGGACACAGTTGTTGAAAATGATTTCGCTTCTATTAAACAATTCTTAGATTCAAAATTACTGACGCTAAATCTAGAAAAAACAAAATACTTACCCATCAGTTGCAATGCAGGTGGATTGCCAGAATTTCAAAGTTTAAAGGTCTCTAGCATTGGAAAAGTGTATAATATTTTATCTGAAAAAGAATATAAGTATCTTGGCGTATATATTGATAAACATTTAAAATGGGATTGTCACATAAATTATACATTTAAAAAGCTACAAATTATTCTCTATAAATTTAAATTTTTAAAAAAACATTTGCTCCTAGAACAAATTCGAACTTTATATCTGTGGTGTTTGGGAGACATATGGTAACTCCTAAATTAGCATTTTTCAGGAAGAGCATTTAAAAGTTTTAAAAGGTTATGTAAATCAGGTATAGTCGGAAAAAAACCAAATATTTACGTTAAATTATTTATTGTTGTAAAGTTTAAATGTAAGAAACATAAATTTTGGAAATATTTGTGATTTTTGAATTAATGGTATATATCATGTTTATACCAAATATATCACTAAAAAAAAATAAAAAAAGGAATTATCAACTTAAATTATTAATATTCTCTGGTTCAAGCGCCATATTTATAAACTTCTTAAAGTAATATTAACAAACAAAACATTAAATTTTTATTAATCAAAATCCTCATCACTATCGCTCACATATAGTGTTGTTTTGGATGGGGATTTCTTCAATTTAATGTAGAAATCGTGATAGATAGGATCAATATAGGGTAGAAGATCTAGAATATCTTTGTATTTTAATTCATCCAATGGCACAGGTTCAGTATATGCAGGGACTAATTGAATGTTAGCAATAGAAACTGATTTGCCCCTCTTCTGCATGGAGTAAAAGCGAAACGGTTCCTCAGAATTTAAAGTATACTTAAAACCCACGTCACTACCTTTTTTATAAAATAACCAAAACACATTGTTCCAGGCGAAGGATGTCTTATCTTTTGCAACATTTCGTTTCATAAAATGAGTAAGTAAAACTTTGGAAAATCCAAAAAAATCTGCCTGTTTCATTAATTTTACATCATAACGAGTGCTGGTCATTTTAATTAGCGAAACCCAATCTTGTGGAACTGACACTGTACTATTTCTTTTTTTAACAAATCTCTCTATAGCAGCATGATCTGTATCGCACTCTAAATGTGTGTGCCCTGGTACGAGAAATTTATGATGAATTTCTTTAAGAGTTGGCTTTTCTTCAAGTGCCATCATAAACATTACAGGTAAAATATTATTTCTATTTTGCCCTGGACACGTATCAGAATAGAGGATGAGCTTTTCTACCTCGTCTGACGAGTCCTTGATAAACTGAAATACGCAAGACGCAATCTCATCAGCTCCTCGTTGGGCTATAGTTTTGTGCCATACGTAACATGCTGTTCGTTTGGTGGTAATATTACGGACTGTCAGATTAAACGTCCACAGTTTTCTTTTATAAAATGACACACTCGCAGATAGATTCGGGGTTGGTAAACACTTTTGTAGGTCAAAAGCTGCCACTGTAATTTTGCCAGCACTCTCCTCGCTTATTTTCTTATCGGCCTTTTTTGTCTCATAATGAAAAGATGCCTTGTTTTGATGTTGTGTCATCTCATGCTCGAACTCTCGCTTTTTTTCTTCAGACAGAGAGGTTTTTATTTTTAAAAACAACGAATCACAGGTTTTGCAAGTGTCATTACTTGGTTTTTTAAATTTCAAATTAAGAGTCTTAAAAACATTACGAAACACACTGAGGCCAAGGGGCTTCTCAGAAGGGTTCTGTCTTGCATTAACAAATTTTTCTTTATAAAGTTTATACAGTAACTGCAAGTTCATATCTGGTTCTAAATATCGTTTAACAGTATGCCGTCGAGAGTAATGGCTTTCGTAAGCCGGAATACTATTTATAAAATCTTTGGCAAACGTGATATCTGCTTCTGAGCGTTTATTACCTGGCTGATGACCTGTTCTTAGGTCAGACTCTAAAACGATGGAAGTAAGTGAAAGTTTCTTCTTTTTAATAATATCATCAAGAAAACCCCTAGTCTCTGCGAACACTTTTAAAAAACAATTTTTGCAAATATTTCCATTTATGCCGTCTAGTGTATATAGTACTGTTACTTCTCTATTTTTTGCGCATGTACTGCGCCTAGTTCTTTCTTTGGGTTTTATAGTTATTAAACTTGTTAAATAACGTTTTTGTATATCTCTATTAGGTAAGGCTCTGTAATCTTTAAATACTTCGTTTAAGTTGATAGTTGCTATTTTTGCATAGCATTTTGCTCGACAATTTTCAGGAATAGGTAAAAGAGCTTTAGCTGGAATACTTTTTCCTTTTGCTGTAACATATGCCTCACCCTTTTTTCTACTTTCAGTTCGTTGCCTACGTAATTTTCTTTGCATTGGACCTTGCCCTTTTTTTCTTTTTCTCACTGCAAAGTGCGATAATGGAATATTGTCGTCAGATGATTCCGATTCTATAGGAACAGCGTCAGTATTAAAACTATTTCCCTTCCTTTTCTTATATGTTGGTTCCCATAAATCGCTAGATCCAGAACTAAAGTCATCCATACTATACTTATCCAGTGGTACTGGTGTGTGTGGTATTTTGGTATTATTTTCGGGGCTTGTTGGTCGGACCGACGATGTTTCAGAATAATAAGTACGATTTTCGGAGCTCATCAGGTCATCCTCAGCAGATAACAACTTCAATGACGAAGTTGAAGAATGATTAAAATTTACTTCACATGCTGATGAAATGGATGATTTTTTTTCAGATATAATCGGCAGTGAATTAGATGCACTTAAAATGCCTGCAGTGACATTAGTTACCTGCAAAGAAAACATATTTTATATTAGGAAAAATTCAACACAAATAGACACACTTATAATTCTTGTGAAGGCAAAAATATGTCAAGAATTAGTTATTTATGCAACAAGTGTGTAAAGTTACCATTTTTTGACGAATGTAAATGTTGACAATCACATGAGTCAAAAAAGGGACTTTACACACGAGTGGCATACAATATTTTTTCTATTACCGTACACATAATCCACTAATATTAGAAATATAAAAGTTACTTTTTTTCACTAGTGAAAAAAAGTAATTTACTTTACGCACTAGTGAAAAAAAGTAAAATGTACAAATTTTGTAAAATTTTACTTGTTTTAACTAGTGCGTGAAGAGTTTTACTTTACGCACTAGTGAAAAAAAGTACAACTTTACACACTTCGTGGAGTACTTAAAGTACGTACTTTACGCACGGTAGTAGAAAAAATATATTAAATTAAAAAATAACTTATTTTGTTAGCACAAAACTTACCACTGTTTGCTCTGAGCTTATTATAGACAACTTATCTAGTATTAAGTTCTCAATATCTAAGTTATTGGTGGAATTATCTAACACAATTTTATTTACGGCCATTGATGAACTTTCCAAAACTGACGACTTAGCCGCAATATTGGTAATATTGGCCTTATTTTTCTGCAAATAACAAACAGAGTTACTTACTAAACTTAAATATTGGTCAATTTAAGAACGATAATTTTTACATTTAATTCTAACTCGAATCCGGTACAATTATGTTATGTGCCACCTACCGCCGTAATAAATAATTTGTACAAAACGTTGTTAAAGCTTAATAATGGTTTGATACAAATATGTTAAGTAAGAACAATATCAAATAGGACACACGACACACATGAACTTATAATGGTTTGGTACAAATATGATAAGTTAAATCGTATGACATATAGGCAAGGCAATATACAGATCCTATCTTTAATTACCTATAAGGTTAAAAAATTATAAGTACTTACATTTTGAAAACTGGAGGGCCCATCCCCTGCCTTACACATCTCAATTATTTTATTGATTCTTGTACTTTTCCCGGCCATATTTTAGAAAATACTAAATTTACACCACCTTTAAACTTTTTTTAATATTTACGACGTTCGACAACAATCAAAACAAAACACTCACTAACATAACGTGTCGAATTCGATGCGTGGCGAATAGTTTCGATTCGATACGAGACACTGGACATATCATAAAGGGATCAAAAATGCATTTAAAATGTTGGGTAAAATAATGATAAAATATACTTATCTCAAATGTACCAAACGACATTATTTTTATTATTTGATCTTAACTTATCATAGTAATACCAAACAAAAGTAAAATTTTAGTGACATATCATGTTTGGATACAAAAAGTATGGGCTTATTAGTAACACTGGAGATGTCATCCTTTGACCAAATGAAAATAAAAGCAAAATTAATTATCATAGTGGATTTAACAACAAAATGTACTTTTTGGAGTTATCATATGTTTTCCAAACACCACAGATATTATTCTCTTGTCGAAAGTCATATACGTTATGGTATTGTAGCATGAGGTGCTCTGCATAGTCACATTAATAACCTAGAAATAATACAACGCAGATTTTTGAAATTAATAATGAATACAAATTTTAGATACTCATCAGATATACTTTACGAAGAAAACAAAATATTAGATATAAGACAAATGTACTTGGTTTCCACCAATCTTAAATATTACCCTACTAGACTCACAGCTACAATACCATCTCATACTTACCTAACCCAGAATAGATCAAATCATATTGTAATCTTGGTGGAAAGATCTTTAACTCAGTCTTTTTCATATCAAGGACCTAAGATGTATAATCACTTACCAGAGGAAGTGCAATCCAAGGTTACTTTCCATTTGTTCAAGAAATACTTAAAAATATTTACTTTCAATACCCCAAAAAAATATATTTTAGATCTAATTGAAAATAAAACCTTAAAAGTACTCACTATTTAAGAAGGATTGATGTTTTCGTATTATAATTTACATTGTTAAAGAATAAAACCATTTTGTATAATATGAACTGTTTTTTGGAGTTAATACTTTTTATTAACATTTATGTAGCGAAAAATGGAGTTACGAGGTTTGCTAATTAGGGTCAAGATATATACCAATAAAAAATTTACCAAACTATCAATCATAATAAAATAAAATATTGAATAAAGGCGCCCAACCAATAAATTTAAAATATAATAAAAAAAATAATTAATAATTAAAAAATATCATATCAATCAGTATATTGCTGCTTTATCGTTGCACAAATTTAAAGCTCTCAATATTCTCGAGATATCTCATCAAAAATATTAATTTATGAAAACAATAATTAGCTGTGAAAAGTCACCATTGCTTTATTTTCCAGATTAGAATATTGTTACTTATAGTCTTCTAATGCATTTTTAGTTTTATTAGAAAATTATATTTTTTCTCTCTTGGAAACATTTTGTGTCGAATCAAACCATTAAGCAATCAATATCCTGAAGACATGCACGCAATGCAGATAATCCTCCCGCCAGTTTCACTCATTCTAAACCATCAATCATGCAAATCTTTAGAAGAAAATTCTAAGCTCCGCTTTTCTTTGGCAAGTCCGCCCGCTTTTCCGTAGATATAGTTTGAGAGCTTATCAACGGCTCTAATTATAAGGCTCATTTTCATCGGAAAGAACGTGTAATCAATCAATCAACGGTACTTTGTTTTCTGTAATTAGTCAATTAATTTTATGGTAATTTACAAACCTGGTACGGTATATAAAGTTATTTAAATATAATTAAAAAAATTGATATCTATTTTATTCTGATTTATGTCCACACGCTCAGTCTTGTCTGAGCGGTTACCTGTACAATCCAGTTTGGGTAAGTAGGTGCAATTCGATAACTATAGTCTATTTTTATGTATGAGAGAGTAATAAAACAGCATTTCTAATGCAAAACTTAGTACGGTCATTTTAAATATTTTTACAGAATAATCTAAATATTTTCTAAAATTGTAATAAATGTACCTGAGCTATTACAAGTTTTGGGTATTTTATTGTTCCTTTATAAACATAAGCTATATAGAACAATAGAAAAAGGTTTGGACAGGCCAAAAGCCCTGTGTATTAAAGATCACATAGCCGTATCTTAAGATTATTTTCAATAAGTACCTATTTGCCAATTTTCTTTTATTTTAATTCCAAGAATTGCTTACAGTAATCGAATTATAAGTAGATAAATAACTTCCCAACAAATTTCACCGAAAATGCGATTATAGGTTTTCCATTTAGTAAGGAAGTCCAAGTTGTGTATATTCTTGACAGTTTACTAAATGTCGTTTAGTTGCAACTTGCAAGGTGCAGTGTGAATTCTAGTGTGATCATGGAAAATTTGGAAGGGCCGCGTAAACGACAAAAAATCGGTCCTTTAACAGTTAATGAAGAAACATTAATATTTAATTGTTTTAAATCATTTACAGACAAAAATTTATGTAAAAGTGTTGATGACACAGTGGAATTAGTTAGTAGTACGCTTGGTGTTGGGAAATCTACGATTTACAGAGTTGTTAAAGAAGGGAAATGTGGCGAGTTTCAAACAGCACGTAAAGCTCCAAGAGAACCAAAATTTCAATTAGAAAATCTATTGAAAGAAAGATTTCGAAGGAAAGTGCATGCGTTCTTCTTTAGAAAAGAATTTCCGACAGTAGACAAAGTTCTTGCCACGGTTCGAGATGATAAGGATTACCCCGAAATGAGTCGAAGCACACTATGGAAACTTTTAAAAGAAATAGGTTTTTTATGGAAAAAGCATTCCGGAAAGTCTATTTTAATAGAAAAAAGCGATATTGTAGTATGGAGAAGAAATTACATAAGGACTATAAAAGAAATGAGAAGCCAAAGAAGAAATATATTTTATTTAGATGAAACATGGATCAACGAGGGACATAAACCAAATAAATGTTGGCAAGATGAAACTGTTACAAGTCGAAGACAGGCTTTTTTAAATAAATTATCTACTGTTTTAAATCCACCATCAGGAAAGGGGCGCATACTAATAATAGTACACATCGGTAGTTCAAACGGTTTTGTTAAAGGTGGTTTATTGACTTTTGAATCTACTTGTACCGGTGACTACCATTAGGCCATGAATGCTGATGTCTTTAAAGAGTGGTTTGAACAAATTATAGATCTTCTTCCTCAGAACTGTGTAATAGTAATGGATAATGCAAGTTATCACTCGAGACTTATAGAAAAAATACCCACAACCAAGTGGTTAAAAAAAGATTTACAGAATTGGCTAAATTCAAAGAATATTAAGTTCCATCCCGGTTCTGTGAGAAAAGAACTGTATCATTTGTGTTCCCTTCATAAAGAGAAATTAAAAAAATATGAAATTGATGAAAATGCAAAAAATCGTGGGATGACGGTGATTAGATCACCACCATATCATTGCGAAGTAAACCCGATTGAACTGATATGGGCATAGATAAAGGGAGAAGTTTCAAGAAAAAATAATTCTTTTAAAATGAGTGATGTTAAATAGTTGTTTTTGGAGGCTGTAAATAATGTGTTGCCTGAAAACTGGGAAAAGGCAGTAAATCATACGATTAAAGAAGAAGAGAAAATGTGGAAGTTGAACAATATTACTGATGAAATGATCGAGCCACTCATTGTAAATATTGGTTGCGACAGTTCATCTTCTGATTTCGATTCTGATTTGGATTTGTAGGTAAGAAGTAGTTTTTATATTAAAATTATTATTCATGAACTTAACGTTGTTTAAAAGTCAAAGTTTAAACCCTTATACCTACATAATTCGTTTGACACAATGTTCTTAACATACCTTGTGGAAAAATAAAACATTTTAGAAAAAATTGCACTTTTTTACCTTCAGCTGTTTAGAAGTTATAAGCAGGTTAATTAGGTGAAAATATAAGTGTATACTCGAGGAATAACTTCAAAAAATATTTTAACTGTCTACTAAAAGAAGTGCTACGCCTATGGATTACGAACGCTTTATTTTAATACTCTCTCATACATAAAAATAGATTATAGCACAAGCTTAAAAGAGTCGTTGATTCGATGAAGATTGATTTGCATAGTTCTCGGTTTGCAAGGTTGGTTTGCTCGAGTTTACTTATACCGTGCGGTCAATATTTTGTTTTTCATCTTTTATTAATTTAAACTGTACAATTTAAACTGCACAGACAATAAATATCGTGTCAGTATAACAGCTAGTTGCAAAACTATAGATGTTAAGACTGCAAGCAATTTAAAGTTTATGTAAGGGGTTCTGGAAAACGCTTTTAACGAATTCTATACACCGAAAGAAGATGAAGAGAGGGCCAAACAGGTCGATGGTGAAGAAACAGAAGATCAGGAAATTGATGATTGGGAAGATGAAGTTCTTATGCACAGTACCATATACAGCTTGTGACATGGCATCGACCTGAATAACTCAGATGAGGACAATAAAGAGAAAAACATGAGACGGCAGTCAAACCTAATCCAAAAAAAAAAAGGGAAAGGGAGGGTACTCCCCACAAGAAGAAGTCTCTACCTAAAAAAAAGAGGAGGCCAAAACGTTGGGCAACATAGCCGCGTTGGGGGAATTTACAGAGAAAAAAATAGCAGAATACTGAACAATTTAGAGAAGAGTATTCCTAACATAGGCAGAAATTAAAGCCAACATTCGACAAGAAATGCGAAGAATGGGAGTCACAAACTGAAAGAATTAGTTATAAGATCGAAGAAGATAATAAACTATTGTAAAATCCATGAAAGCATATACACAAACTCACAGCATGAACATTGAAGATCTAGAGGAGATTGGGAGTTTTGAAGCTCTAGCAGGATATATAAAATAATAATAATTTATTCATTAAAATAGTACCTATAAAACACCCCCACCGTAATTTAATTTAATTTAACTCGAGAAGTAGATCTATTCTTTCATTGTACATGATAATTATCGGAAAATATCTCAGAGCTACGAAAAGATTCGTTTAACCAAGTCTCTGTCAATGCTACAAAATCAAAATCAGACTGACGAGAAAACAAGTAAACGGTATTTATTTTAGTTCTAATTCCACGGACATTCTGATAATACAGGTCAAGTTTTTATTAGAAATATTAAATGAAATATTTTGCGAGTGTAGAGCTGTACTCCCAATGGTTAATACATCCGACTGACTCATTTGCGATTGCTATGCTACATAAAGTGAGGATTTTAATTCATCTATATGACGTTGATAAGAATTGGAATGGGTGTTCCATGCAGCATGAT